AATGCTGGAGCAACTAAACATCCACATGCAAAAATAAATAAATAAATCTAGACACAGAGTATATACTGTCAAAAAAATTAACTCAAAGTGGATCACAGACTTAACTCTAAAACACAGAATTATGTAACTCCTGGGAGATAACAAGAGAAAGTCTAGATGACCTTGGGTATGGAGATGACTTTTTAGATACAACAGCAAAGGCATGTCCATGAAAGAAATAAATAATAGAGTAGACTTTATTTAAATGCAAAACTTCTGCTCTTTGAAAGACAATACCAAGAAAATGAAAAGACAAGTCACAGATTAGGAGAAAATATTTGAAAAAGACACATCTGATAAAGGATTGTTATCCAATATATACAAAGAACTCTTAAAACCCAACAATAAGAAAACAAACAACCTGATTTAAAAGATGGGCCAAAGACCTTAACAAACACCCTGTCAAAGAAGATACATAGATGGCAAATAAGCCTATGAAAAGATGCTCTACATCATATGCCATCAGGGAAATTAAAATTAAAACAACGAGATACAAGCACATACCTATTAGATGGCCAAAATCTGGAAGATGGACAACCCCAAATACTCGCAAGGAAGGGAAGAAACAGGAACTGTCTTTTATTACCAGTGGGAATGCAAAATGGTACAGCCACTTTGGAAGACAGTTACTTTAAAAACTAAACATAGTTTTACCATACAATCTAGTAATCACACCCCTTGGTATTTACTAAAAGGGGTTGAAAACTTACATCCAGGCAAAAATCTGCATGCGGATGTTTATAGCAGACGTTTATGATAAGCTCTGATATTAAAAAGTCAAACCCACATGTAAACATAGTAAATAATAATTAGAAAAGGAGCAAGGACCCGTATCATGAAGTAAATGATACAGATAATGAACTGTCACTCAGTGCTAAAAAAAAAAAAAGAGCTATCAAGCCATGAAAAGACACTGGGGAACCTTAAATGCATATTACTAAGTGAAAGAAGTCAATCTGAAAAGGCCATATACTGTGTGATTCCAACTATATGACTTTCTAGACAAGGCAAAACTATGGAGACAGTGACAAGATCAATCATTGCCAGGGGCTGGGAGTGGGGAATGAATAGATGGGAGCACAGATGATTTTTAGGGCAGTGAAACTAGTCTGTATGATACTATAACGCTGGGTACACATCTTTATACATTTGTCCAAACTCACGGAATGCACAACATCAAGAGTGAACCCTTGTGTAAACTATGGACTTTGGTTGATAACTATGTGTAGGTTCATCACTTGTAACAAATGTCCATCATGAGGGAGGTTAGGCATGCGGGGGGCAGGGAGTACCTGGGAAATCTCCATACCTTCCTCAATTTTGCTCTGGATCTATAACTACTCTAAAAAATAAAGTCTTAAAAATAAAAAATACAAAAATAAGAGTAGAGGAGGACTGAAATATTAAAAATCAAGGCAGAAATTTAAGAATTACAAAATACAACAGCAGAATTTGTTGATGGGCAGTATTTGTCAGAAGGTAGAATTACAGAAGTCTAACACAGCAGAGGAGAGATTGGCAATAAGGCTCTAGCAAGAACAAAATTAGGAAAGAATGTAAATTTTTAAATGAGACATTGGAGAGACACACTAGAAAGGGCAAAGAACAGGGCAGAATGCTAGAATGTTTTGCATTCCTGTGATTCCCCAAGTGGGGTGTACTGCAGACTCAGCAAGATTTGACCACAAGAGCTCAGAAAGCCTGAAACTGCAGACAGTCCCCATCACATGATAAGCTCTGATATTAAAAAGACAAACCCACATGCAAATGAAGTAAGTGATAATTTGAAAAGGAGCCAGGAGCAGTAAGGTCAGGTCTAAGAAGGATTGGGCCGGAAAGGGAGGTTTGGGCCGGAAAGAACAAAGTAACCAGGGGACAGAAATTATTACGTGAGAAAGGATTGCTTCCGGGAGTCCAGAGCCTCAAGACAGCTTCTGGTTAAAGCTTCGGTGGGTCTGTTCTCCAACTAACTGTGGTCACAGGGGTGACATGATCAGCCTCGTCGGACACATCCCCACTGCCTGGCCTGGTTTGACCCTCTGGCTCTCACTGCCAAGGGAAGCTGCAGTCCTGGTGCCGGAGCCCTGCTGTGGCTCCCTCTGTACTGCTTGCCTGCTATCCCAGGAAGGGTTGCATCAGCCCAGGGGCAACAGGGTCTGCAGCCAGGTCCCCGAACTGATGAATAACTCTAAGGTTTCAGTGTCTGAAAATATAGAAAAATAAAATCCTTGGTGAGTCAAATCAATAAAGACAAATGGAGAAATGCACACAATTAGAAATGAAAAATGGAGACATAATTATGAATATAGAGGAAATTTTAAAATCCTAAGTTCCCATATTGCAAAACTACATAAATATACTGAAAATTGGATTAAAATTAATTTTCTTAAAAAATATGTAACTAAAATTGACTCCAGAAGTGCCCTAGGACCTAACGTGCCCAGTGGGAGAAATTCAGAAGCACCCCAGTGTATTCCCAGACAGCCCCCAGCCCTGGTGAGACATTTGACACTTACGTAGAAGATGATTCTAAAACCAAGTAAATGGTTGCAGAATATAGAGCGTTCTTTGGTTTCTTTTGGTTTTGCACACAAAGCAAGCTGCAGAATGATTCATCTCATATATGAAATTGATAGCAAAAATCGTAAGTAGACATCATCCCAGGAACATAATAGTAGTTTGGTCTGAAGCAATCTATTAATATACAACATACTACTAGAGCAAAGCAGAAACCCTTCTGATTATCTCCATGGATACTGAGAAGGCTGTGACAAAAAACTAACATCTACATTTCCCCAGAAAGCCTTAATAGTTTGAGAATACACAGATACTTTTTATTATGACAAGGAAAATACATGTCTTCATACAAGTTAAACAGTGAGACATTAAACCATCCCATTGATGTCAGGAACAAGACAGGTATGCCACCTGAGTCACTATTATTTAACACTGTTCTCAAATGCAGTTGGCTAAGAGAAAGAAATAAGGGAAATTAGTGGAAAGGGGGAGGCAAAAGAAAATCTTAGAAGCAGTAAGCAATCATAGTTAGGGTGTTTGATTATAACACTGATATGCAAAATCGACTACTTTCCTATATATTCAGTGAGAATACAAAATGTAAAAACTCATTGCATTAAAAATGGTAGCCAAACGACATCTAGAAATAGACAATAACAAATTCATAGGACCTATCTGAAACCATAAAACTCTACGAGTGATATAAAATTAGATTTGAATACAAGCCTGGATTGCAGTATTCTTCGATAGGAGGACAATCTAGAAATTCATTGTGATCCCAATTCTTTAAAAAGTTGCGTGTGTGTTTATGAGAAAGAAAGAGTTACAGAAAAAAAGAGAGAGAGGAAGAGAGGGAGAGAGTGTAGAGAAGAGCCTTGATTGAAATGTTTACATTAATATGAATATTTTATATTAATTGGAATGAAGCCTCAGAAATTCAAGGAATTCATAGGGAGACAAATCAATAAAACAGAAGTAGACCCAAACACTTGGAGGAATTTAGTTTACAAATAAGGTGTCATTTTGAACAAATGGGGAAAAAGCAATTACATACCAGAATGCACTGTCATGTATTTTGCTGGCACAACTGACCAACCATTTCGAGGGAATAAAAACACATCTTTACCTCCATTTCCTGTAATAAATGAACTCCTGGGAATCAGAAGATGTAAAGATAAACAGATGAAACCATAAGAATTTAGAAGAAAATATGAGTAAATTTATTTATAATCTCAGAATGAGAAAGGTCTTTTAGAACTGGAAACAAATTCTGGCATCTAACAAGGAAAATATGGGTAAGTTGACAACATAAAACTTTAAACTTTATATATATATACATATATATATGACCATTAATAAGCAAATCAATAGAGAACGTCAAAAGACAAAAATATTTCAAGACATAAGACAGAAAGGTTTCAAAATACACAGCCAAATTAATTAAGAAAAAGCCAAAATTGTGTAAAGGACATAAATTTACCAAAAAATTACCAGGAAACATTTGAAAAGATGTTCAACTTCACTCCTAATAAAGTGAACTAAATCAGAATGATACTGTAATATCATTTTTCACCAGACTGGAAAAAAAAGTTGTTCGAGAAAACTGAGAAATCGACCTTTTCATTATACTCTTAAGTGTAGCCACGGGTCAATTTTTGAAGAATAATCTGGCAATATTGACAAAAGTGTTAAATGCACATAACCTTAAATCCAGCAACTCCATTTTCAAGTTGGAATTGATTATCAAGATACAGTCACAAAAGTATGCCATGATATAAGTACAAGGATGCTAATTTTAGATCTGTGTATAAAAATAAAGGCAGGAAATACTCTATAGGTTCACTAATAAAAGACTAATCAAAGAAATTATAGTGCACGGGGACAATGGAACACTAAGCAGCTATTAAGAATGAGGTAGATCTTTATATGTTGTTATGGAAAGATCTCTTAACACCAAGTGAAAAAAGCAAAGTGCAGGGCGCTAGAAACAGACAAAAAAGGAAGGTGTCTCTCCACATCCTCTTCCTCCCTGCTCAGCCTCTCTCCCTTCCTTTTTTTCTGGAAATGCCCATCCCTCCCCAGAAGCTCACTGATGGTCCCCTGTGAGGAGAGAAGGCAGGGGCTGGGGTGGGTGGGGGCTTATTTTCAGCCTTTCACACTTGTCTTCCTATGTGTGCATCTTTTCCTTATTACTACTTTTTAAATCGCAGAGTAGTTATTTGGGCGGTCAAAATACAAACCCCTTTTGTTTGCCTTTTACATTTTTCTGTATAAGATAAAAAACCAAAAAGGTTTTTTATTAAAGGAAAATGTAGTAGGGATCAACTTCGAATAGCAATAAGAAATGAAGCACTCTCTTTATATACCAAAACACTTCTAGTTGTTTCTAAAGACACTTTAATAGACAAAAAAAAAAAAAATGATTGTGCATTTTTTGTCCGCTCCACATAGAATGAGTGTACTCTGAGGATGACCCTGCTCCAAATGGTATGTTGCTGGAATGCCCTTATTTATCAGCCTTCTTGCTGTAAACCAGGGGCCTTTTCTGAAGGTGCTCACACACACGTGTTCTCACACACATACACACACACCATACACAAGCCTCCGTCTTCTTCAGTGCACACAGATCCACCCAGAAATGAGCGAAATAAATGGCTGAAGAAGTGCATGCCATTTCTTTTGCTCTGAAAATCAAATCTTCCCTCATGATGTATCCATTTCAGGGGTTAGAAGCAAATTAAAGATCCCCAGGAGCTCAGACACCTTCTGCAGTTTTGAGCTCTGAGAGTTACTAGATGAAACAACAGAACAGGAGAGATTGTCTTATGTCTTCCTCTGATCACATTAAACAGTAAGGATGGGAGAAGCAAAGGGATGATTGTCAGCTAGACAATCTAAGTGGAGAACTGCATCACCACCTGGATTTAAAATAAAAGTTTCCCAAGCTTTCAAAGCACACACCTCCGGTGAATCCACCCATTCAGCCAGCTCTCTGGGCTGAAGCTGTGTGTGTGAACTGTGGGAAAGCAGATCCCCCCCCAAACCAGAAACTGGAATTACTGGGTGTGCAGCCACTGTTAGTCTGTAAGCCCCTCCTGCTAACCACCACTGGCCGGCCATTCAGGAAAGCCATCAGCCATGCCACCCCCTCCCCAGTTCCTGCCACAGAGGGAGCCAGAAGAGGCCCAAACCCCTGCCCCTTGGCCCTGACACATGGAGAAAAGGCATAGAATACTTTGGTGACTTCATGTTGTGCATTTGTATGGGTCCACAAATTTGTAAGGCTAGTCAACTCCAATACACGTGAAGTGTCTAATGCATTATTTTTAAAAAAAACACATATGGTTTAATTTAGCTTCAGCTATTACTTACATTAAAAAAAACAAACACATAGATGGTTTAAATCAGCTTCAGCTATTATTACATTGGGTGGTAATTCTAATAGAATTCTACTTGTCCTTTGGGCTTTGTCGACTAGAACAGCCCGACTCAACCTGCCAGTGTCTGGGAGCAGCACAGAAAGCTTGGGAGTGCCTGGGATCTACAGAAATCCCCTTAACTTGACTGGGTCTGGTCCTGGTTCAGAATGAACACACACCTGTGTCCCTCCTGGTTCCCCTCACAGGGTAGGCTGGCAAAAAAGAGTAATTTACAAGATGAACTATTACTGTCTCTTTTTAAAAATGTAGACACAGCATAAAACTGTTTCTCTCTACCAACTGTCTTTGGTAGAGAAAATTAAAGTCTGAATTGAAGAAAAACCAAGCAGTTGGGTTTTAAGTTTTAGTTTAGTTTTGTTTCATCAGTCAATTATCTGATGGATTTACTGAGTGTAATTTATTATGACGATTAGCTTCAATCTAGATTTGTACACAGGCAAAGCAGATATGAATTTTCATGTAAGCCCTCACAGCAAGTGACATGCAGGCATGCAGACCAGCTACCCAGGCCTCACCTGGCAGTCAGTCCTGAGCTACCCGAACCTCTTTGAAGGGCACACCAGGCAGTGGAGAATGGGCAAAACGACCTCTCCAGGGTCCTGCTGACTATAAGGATGCTCGGAGGATATCGAGTGGCCCATCAAAGAGGGTTAAACAGAAACGTGCTGAGATCCTATTACTGAAAGTAACAAGTAAACTGAAACCGACATGACAGAGATAGGGTATATCTGCGTCCTCGGGTTTAACGGTGCTGTGGAATCAGCACCCCAAAGTTCTCCCTAAGCCAACGTCATCGCCCATCTCTGCGTTTCCTACATGCTGGGAGCCAGGACGGAGTCAAGCGAAGTCTTTGGACACAGCCTCGACGAAGTTGGGCGCCGACATCAGGATGCCGATGGTGCAGAGGATGGTGAAGACCGAGAAGGCCATGAGGCACAGGCGGTCCACCACACAGGCCGCGAACTTCCACTCGCTGCACACGGCCTCACTCTCGTCCTGGCAGCGGAAGCGGTGGGCGATGTAGCGTACCTCCTCCAGAATCCTGGCCAGGTCCGGGTCCCCCTCCGAGGGCTGGCCGCAGTGCAGCAGGTGCTCGTCGTGCGTGGGCGAGCAGGCCACGCGGCCGCACACGACCCCCGAGTCAGGGGTGGGCGTGCAGTGCACGCTGTCCAGGCCACGGAAGCCGATGTACAGCAGGTTGCCGTTGGTAGCCGGCGGCCCCGCCACGGCGCTCATCTCCACGCTGGCCAGGCTGCAGCGGCGCTGCTTGTGCTGGCAGGCCGGCCGCACCTTGTCCTCCCCCGGTCTCTTCATGCGCAGGAACCAGGCACACCAGTTCAGGAGGATGACTCTCGTCTGCAGAGACAGCACACCGTTAGGGTGGCCGGGAAGGGTGCACGGCTGGTCCATCCAAGGGGATGCTGTGATACCAGCTAGACTTCGTGGGGGCGGACCCTAGGGGTGACAGGTCCCCAGGCCTTCCCAGGCGAGTTTACACAGGCAAGCAGTGCCAACGCGGTACAATGGTTGAATCGAATGTGAGGCAATGACAAAGCAATACAGAAAATCACCCTGGGAAGGAACTATGCGCACACTGCCATCTCAAGGAGGACAGCCTGTGTGGGAGGAGAGGGCTGTCTTCTAAAGAGAGCCCTGAGCTGGGGAACAGAGCAAGTCACCCTCTCCGGTCCTTCCTCATCTGGAACTAGGGACCACCAACTCTAACTCCCTGTGAGGTACGCCAGTGTGCGGTGACAAACTCACAAGGGCACCCCTGGAGATGTTAAAGTTTCAAGGGCAACCCTGTGGCATGTGTCAGACACTGTGTGCACCCCTAGCCTGAAACAGTTCAGACTGTCACATTAGATCACTGCATTAGATCCACTGCATGATGTCCTATCCTTGCAAAGTAGATTTTGGAACTTGTCCTGATAAAAGGCAAGTGCCAAGAAAGTCATCGTGGAACAGACAAGGAGGGTAGCATGCTCCCAAGGTGAGAGAAGTTTGCTGTGCCAATGGGTGCTAAGCTGTCGGGGTATAAGTACTTAGTAAGTTGTTTTGACCTGTTTAAATAATAGAACCGTTAGGTATTCCTCTTGTCCTAGGTGCTCTGTGGGGGAAAAAAAAAAAACAAAACCCTGAGACATGAAAGGTGCTGTGAACCATGGGAGTTTAGGAACCTCTAACCTAACTCATTAGGCTGCAGTGAAGACTGAAGGAGATGATATGAGACAAAATGCTGTGAAAAGTCTGAAGCTGGGGTTGGCAGACTTTCTTTAAAGGGCCAGAGAGTAAATATTTTAGCTTTGCTGATATAGTGCAAAATCAGCCATACATGCAAAAGAGCAAAGAGGCTTTTTTTCCTAATAAAATTTTATTTGCAAAAGCAGTTGGCAGGTTGGATTTGGCCACCAGGGCCATAGTTTGTCGACCTCTGGCCTAAAGTGTTTTATAAACATACATTACCTGCATGCATAGAAGATGCTGGAGAGATTTGTTTCTCCCTTCTAATAGAAAGAAAAGAGCCTTGTGAAACCTCAATCCAGCTTTTAAAAAATCCTTGCAAGCCTATTTAGACAAGTGCAAGAAAAGTGAGCCCTTTCCCTGAAATGATCCAGATACTGATTTGAATTTTGGTTTATGATTGTAGGCAAATTCCATCAGCAGTGTAGCAGGTATGCTTCCCATCTGTAAGTGCAGGCAGCAAGTTGTGAAATTCGTGTCTGCCACCCTTCTTTTGGTAACCATTTTTATGACACTTATCAAAGATAACTGCAGTTATCTGGTCTGGAGACAGCAATGAAAAGAACAAGAAGGCGTAAGAGCAGTTTTGCAGCAGCTGTAAAGATCACCCTCTGTCCATCATAGGCGGCAATTTTTATCCTGCCCACACCCTATGGACATACTTCCAGAGCCTGGAAGAGCCAGCCTGCAGACTCTGTTTTCCAGGATCAGTAAGGAGCAGAAACACACAGCCCCACGTGGACACGAGGCTCAAGACAAGCCATCTCACCTGGGCATCTCAGGGTTCAGTGAAGTGAGTATAATTCCCCCATTTTACAGGTAAAGACGCTGAGGCTCAGGGGGAGGTGGTGGGGAGTTTGGGGTGAGCAGATGCAAACCATTGTATATAGAATGGTTAAACAACAAGGTCCTACTGTATAGCACAGGGAACTGTATTGAATATCCTGTAATAAACCAAAATGGAAAAGAATCTGAAAAAGAATATATATGTATATGTATAACTGAATCACTTTGCTGTACACTAGAAACTAACACAACATTGTAAATCAACTATACTCGAATAAAATAAATTTAAAAAAAAAAGAATCTGAGGCTCAAAGAGGCAAATAAATTGGGTCAAGATCACACTGTGAGTTTGAGTCACCTAATGTGTTCAGACTTCTGCAGCCTCATCTATAAAAGGGTCTGCTAGGTTCTCTGCAAGCCCCCTGTGACTTTAGCCAATCCCCCACTCAGAAGGCACCAGAAAGTTGGGGCCAGAGCTCAAGGGAGCACGTGGGGCAGTGAGTGTGCCCAAATCCAGAGGCAGCCTGGAAGGGAGAGCTGAGCCTCAGATCTAGGGCTGTGCCTGCCAAGTGGGGGTCTGCACATCCCCTGGGGCATAGCTCAAGCTAAATCTATTTTGAATTTCATGGCCTAAATCATTAGCTTTCAAGGCTAAAGCATCTCAGAAGATGAGATTATCCTCTTGGCACTTCTCAGACTGTGCTTGTGACCTCTGCTGTTAGGTTATGGTTTGGTTTCTGGCTGTGTGAATGTCACATAATGTCACCGCACCGGCAGGGTCTTCTTCATGGCAACAGATCACAATGAAAGCCCCTCGGAGGCTGTTTATGTTTCATATGCACTTGGAAAGAAAAAAAAAAAATGCAGTGTGTTATATAAAGTGAAAGAGAAATACAAGTTTCATATCTGCTTTGCACCATTGGCTTTAACATGCTCTTGCGCTGAAAGGTGAATAATCAGCATATGCTCTTAATTCAGATTTTTCTGGAACAGTAAAGTGCTACCAGGTCATTAAAAATGGTTTTGTATCTTACTGCCTTAATCCCCTTGTCTTTACATCAGTCAAAACAGAAGAAATAAGAATATGTGTTTATATTTTGGCATCTGCATAAACACTGGTAGGAAAAAGAAATTAATTGAAATGGTTATCAATTGGTGGTGGAAGTAGGGGGAGGGGCAGGAATGGGAGCAGGAGTTCCTTATGTATAATTCTTTTTTTTTTTTTTGCGGTACGCGGGCCTCTCACTCTTGTGGCCTCTCCTGTTGCGGAGCACAGGCTCCGGACACGCAGGCTCAGCAGTCATGGCTCACGGGCCCAGCCGCTCCGCGGCATGTGGGATCTTCCCGGACTGGGGCACAAACCCGTGTCCACTGCATCGGCGGGCGGACTCTCAACCACTGCGCCACCAGGGAAGCCCATGTATAATTCTTTGAGTTTGACTTCTGAAACATGTAAATGTTATTTCAAACAAATGGGTGGATAGACAAGAAAGTGTATCAGAGTTATAAAGAAGTCAGATGAGAATGTAGGTGAATGTGTGCAAACGTGTCTCAGCTTCTTTTTTTGAGGGGGGAGGGACTTCTCAAAACAAGCTCACAGACTGTGGTGATGTGACCCATGTGGGAGGTGGCACCATTTTGGGGAGCCCATTGCTGATGCCACGAGAGAATTATTATTATTTTTTTTTTACATCTTTATTGGAGTATAATTGCTTTACAATGGTGTGTTAGTTTCTGCTTTATAACAAAGTGAATCAGTTATACATATACATATGTTCCCATATCTCTTCCCTCTTGCATCTCCCTCCCTCCCACCCTCCCTATCCCACCCCTCCAGGCGGTCACAAAGCACCGAGCTGATCTCCCTGTGCTATGCGGCTGCTTCCCACTAGCTATCTACCTTACATTTGGTAGTGTATGTATGTCCATGCCTCTCTCTCGCTTTGTCACAGCTTACCCTTCCCCCTCCCCATATCCTCAAGTCCATTCTCTAGTAGGTCTGTGTCTTTATTCCTGTCTTACCCCTAGGTTCTTCATGACATTTTTTTTTCTTAAATTCCATATATACAGAGTGAAGTAAGTCAGAAAGAGAAAGACCAATACTGTATGCTAACACGAGAGAATTATTAAGTGTAAGGATTTGCTGTGGAAAAGAACTCAAGGGCAGTCACTCTGTAAAGCCAATTTCTTAAAAAAAAAAAAAGTGGTCTTGCCTAAGTTAATTTTTGGGTAACTGTAAATTATTGCACAATGGATATTTTTAGAAGGGCCAGGAACTCCCTGCTCCTGGAGATTAAGGGAATGCATCTTACATCTTGCAGGTACATTTAGTGCACTGGTGAGTCCTAAATTGACTCTGAACTTGGAGGCAAGATTTATGGGTCTGCAAAGACAGGCTTGTTTTGGCATGAGAGGGCTTCTTTAGCTCCCAACTGTCCCTAAGCCATGCTCTCTCGATGGGAAGACTGGAGGGTTTGTGGGGCCCAAGTAAGAAGTGGGGTGAGGGGGGGGGGGGGCAGCTCTGCCCTGCCGGGGGTTTGGTCACACCAAGCGAGGCGGGGAAAGTCCAGGCCCTGCTTGTCCCCCGAGCAAGGTTTCCCAAGAGCCCGGCGAGGGTGGTGTAGAGCTTTGGACATTGGACTCCAATGGAGCACGGCCCATGGCTGGGGAAGCATCAGCACACGTCACAACACATCAGTGCTGGGAGGCACTGGGACCATGTGGCCTGACCTGGGCTCAGATGACAAACATTTATTTACCATCCATTTCCTTTTTATTTTTTAATATTTATTTATTTATTTAGCTGCGCCAGGTCCTAGTTGCGGCACTCAGGATATTCTTTGCCGTGTGCGGGATCTTGAGTTGTGGCATGCGAACTCTTAGTTGCGGCATGTGGGATCTAGTTCCCTGACCAGGGATCAAACCCGGGCCCCTGCATTGGGAGCACAGAGTCTTATCCGTTGGACCACCAGGGAAGTCCCATCCATCCATTTCCTTTTATCCCGTCATTCTGCCTTATACATGAGTTAACTTGAATTTGATGCTAACTAACATAGCCTGTTTGTGGCCTATCAAACAGACATCTGCTTTAATTATTAGAGAAAAGGGCACATTGACCAGAAGTAAAGAATGTCTATAATAAAAATAAAGATTAAATGCCTCTCTTCCTGGAACACCAATGCTGGTCCTCCAATGATAAGACTCCCTTCTCAGGCGCCAAGGCCATGCTGACTTGCCGTGTACGTGCTAATCTGTGTTTCTGTTTTGTTTTGTTTTGTTTACCTTGAAGAAATGTAACCCCGACTCATTTCATGTTCTTTGTTCTGACAGGATATAAAACTGTGCTGAAAACCCTGCTACTCCAGAGCAGCTTCTCAGATTAATGTGGGAAGCCAGCTTCCAGGCTAGTCCTCAGTTTGACTCAAATAAAACTCTTTTCTATTCTTCTTATTGATAGTTTATTGATTATTTTCATTGACAACTGATTGTATATATTTGTACCCTGTTCACTCTATTTCTTACTCTTTTCCCTCCCCATTCTGTTTTGAAGATCCAGCCAGCAGCTGTGTGCTCATCTTGTGTGTTGCTTCTAACAGTGTCCGTGCAAAAAGGAGGTTTAGAAACACTGTCCAGTGAAAGGTGCAGAGTGTTCGACCTGAGCCCTGCTCTGGGATATCAGATTGGAAGGACAGCCCCATGGGACCCTAAGAGCATTCACCATACTGCCCTGGAAGCAGAGACATGCAGACAGGTAAGAAATTGCAGCTTTTTGTTTAGGAATGCTAGCTGTCTGTGGGATTTTTAAAATAGGTAAGTCATCCTCGGAGCCTCCCCTGGGGAGGGGCCCTGACCCCCCCTCTGGTGGAGGAGCTGGGGAGGAACTCACCCACTTGGGCATCTTGCCACCGTCGGGGTCGTGGTGGTGGTACTGTAGCACGATCACTGTGACGACCACGGAGAGGCCCACGATGATCATGGTGCTAGCGAAGTACTGGGCTGCAGAGAGAGCAGATGCAGGGGAGACCTGGGGCCTAGGTCACAGCGTGTCACCATGGCACAGTGCAGGGGACCCAGACTGTGTCTTGACCACCAGGGGCTGGGGAGCAATGCCCAAGAGCAGAGCAGGACCTCCTCCAGGCCTGTAGCCCACCACGCACATTCCTGGCGGGCAGATGCCAATCCAGAGCACACAGACCTCCTCCTCCCACCCTGCTGAGCGGCCTCACCAGCTGACTGCACTGCTGGGAACCCTGCCTGCCTCACCCTTCAGTGAAAGCTAACTGCACCTCACAGGATGGTGATAAGGTTGTCCGATGAGAAAGCACCATTGTCAGAACTGAAACCACCTGGCACAGAGGGTGTGATCACCACTGTGATGACTGCAGGCCACGGACAGGCTTCGGGGATCTAGCAAGGGCAGACCCGGGTGCCACTGGCTGACTTATCAGACCTGAAAAATGACTCTACTAATGATAGAGTCTGCCCCCATCTACTTACTGAGAGCCACAGGGGTGGGGAGTGCCAGCTGTGCAGCCGGAAGAAGAGGTCAGCTGCAGTGTCTTTTCAGGCTGAGAACATCAGCTTCAGCTCTGATGGGCAAGGATGCATTTCTCCACCTTGGACCAGGTGAGAAGCAGCATGGAGTTTCCCCCCCGGTCCACTGGCGGCCGTCTGTGAGCCTGGACAGACCACTCAGCCTCTCTGGGCCTCAGCTTCTTCACCAGTATAACAGGGATGGAAATGCCTTCTCTGCAGGGTTTGCACAAGGATTAGCAATTTTATGGGCCAAGGGTATAGGAGAAAGCTGGCATGGGTGGGCATTCCTTAATTTCCAACTCTGATTAGTAAACCTTCAGTGTGGGGGAGGCATAAATTAGGAGGTTGGGATTAACATACACAGGACTATATATAAAATAGATAACTAACAAGGGCCTACTGTATTATACAGGGAACAATACTCAATATTTTGTAATAATTGTAGGTTATTTGTAAAAACCTATAAGGGAAAAGAATCAGGCTGTACACCTGAAACCAACACAACATTGTAAATCAATAAAATAAATAAATAAAATAAAAAGGGATTAGAAGCAAAGATGGATTCAAGTATAAAAAGAGTATTAAAAACTAACAAAACAAAATATATATACACACAATGCTTCTCTAAGCAACAGAATAAATTATCCTAACATAAATGCAAACAAACAAACAAAGCCTCAGTGTGGCCAACCACCAAGGGGCTGGGCCCTTAAAGAAAGCATCCTGGTACGAGGCTAAGTGTGCAGCCACACACTTGGTTAAAAACACCTCCTGCCCTCCAGGCAGGCAGGAACTCATTGCTCTCCTAGGGAGACCAAGAGGAACCTACAAGGAGCTACCAGACTTATCATCAGCCTCAGGGACCTCTGGGGAGGGAAGGGAGGGGGGACCAAACTGTGACTGTTATGGGCTGCATACTCTGTCCCCCTAAAATTTATATGTTGAAGCTGTAAACCCCAAGTACCTTAGAATGTGACTGTGTTTGAAGAGAGGGCATTTAAAGAGGGAATTAAGTTAAAATGAGATTGTTAGTGTGGCACCTGGTCCAATCTGACTGGTGTCCTTATTATAAGAAGGGGAAATTTGGACACACAAGGAGGCACAGGGATGTGAAGATACAAAGGAAAGACCATGTGGGGACACAGCAGAGGGTGCCCATCTGCAAGAGAAAGAAAGAGACCTCAGGAGAAACCAACCCTGCTGGTTGGAGGTTCCAGCCTCCAAAACTGTGAGCACATAAATTTTTCCTGTGTAAGGCACCCAGTCTGTGGAATTTTATTGTGGTAGCCTTAGCAGACTAATACAATGACCTATGGAGGGATCCAGGCTGACTGGATCCCACAGCTGAAATCTCAACAACAGAGGTCAAAGGCCAACAGCATCCCATCCTTCTAGATGTGGGCTATGCACCAACCAAGCCTGTGGGTTCATCAGACACAACAGGGTCTGCCGACTGCCCCTTTAAGGGTGGCTTCTGCTGCAGGTCTCTACTGAAAGCATTGTGCTAGAAGGTAGAAAGGATGGGGTCAGAATGTCAGGTTGGAAGAAGGTTCCTTGCTTCCAGGACGGTACGGAGAGAAATATGACACCCTCAGAGGCTTTTGATACCAACAGTCTGTCTGGTCAAAATATTACACATCCAGAAACCTCCAATAAGAAGGGCCTTGGCTTCTTAATTCGTGAAGCCTGGCGATATCGTGTAAGGCACCCCACTCCTACTTACCCCTGGTTAACCACACAGGATTGCCACCCGTATACTGCTTTCCTGTTTCTGACCTCCACCGCCAAATGGGAGTGGGGACTCTCATTAAAACTAATATCTATTGGCAGAATGTTTGCTTCCTGTCCTCATAACTGGCTTGGAGGTCTGGTTCCCTGACCAGGAACAGAACCCTGGCTGCAGTGGCCAGGGTACTGGGTCCTAACCTCTGGGCCACTGAGCACCCCTCGGCACACTCCTGCTAATTCCAGTCCAGTCCAGGGAGGTTCACAGCAACAGGTGATGCTGCCTCCTGTCTCTGTCATCCTTCCTTGGGCAGAAGGTCATCCTTACACCTGCCTTTGTGTGTGGTTTGTGCATCCCCTGCTGGACCAGTCCCTGCTTCACCTACACCCTACTCACATGACTGACTTTCCCCCCTAATTTCAGAGCCTAAAGAGTAAATACCTACATCCTTGTCCCACTGCCCCGAAGCTAGTGATTGTTTAATCTTTAGTTCAGAATGGCTCCCCTTTGATAGTTGTTTAACAAAGGGAAGACCTCCGCCCCTTGAAGGTACTTAGCCCAAGGGGCTAAGAGGGCTGTGCCCCTCTGCTGGTTTCCCAGGTAACCGATGGGCCAATCTGACTTCAATTCCCCTAGATAACTGGTGGGATGTCACTCCAGGACCCTTTTGCTTCAGATGTGTAAGATCTCCCATCTACCAAACAACTGATGTCCTGTCTCTGGACTCTTTCTTCAGTCTTGAGTCTGGGCAAGTATAGGGCTTGCAGGCCTGCGAGTTGCAGCCCAACATGTGGCCAAAACATATTTGTCCTGTTCACCTTCCCTCACAATCGTTAATTTTCTACAGAGACATCACGTTATCTCAAGAAACAACGGATGAGAGTTAACGTGTAACAAATAATTTGTGGAAAAACAGTTACTCAAGCTAAAATAATGCATCTTTAATGGTAAAAATCTCTGGCTCCATAACAAGTGTGAGGGGGGCATTATGGGAGAAAAGGGGGCATTTCTGCATCTCAAGGCCAAACCACAAAGCCAGACTCCCCCTCCCCTTCTATGTGCCACGTAAGCAGAGGCCATGGGTCAACTCTGAGTAGTTACAGCAAGTCATCTCCTCACAGCAGAAAAGGGGGGCCATGCAGCCCTCCAGTCTCCTGCGGGACACGTTTCTGCTCCCTGCCTGTGCTGCAAAATCCCAGGCACTCTCTAAGCCCATGTCTTTAGAGGAGCTGGATGCTTGCTTACCTATCAAGGGCACTGAGTCAGAGGTAGCAGGCATGATCTCAGCCACCAGCAGCATGAAGACGGTAAGAGAGAGTAAAACTGTGATCCCTGGAACAGAGGCATACAGTGGTCCCTGAGACAGAACAGATGGTAAGGCCTGAACTCCATCCAGCCCAAGAGTCAAAGGAGGTGTGGAGGGAGGGATGGTGGTGGCCATGACATTCCTGAAACCAAATGCACAGTTTTCTATATTGATGGGAATGGGCATCTTTCTGGGGACAGTCTGTGCCATCTACTGGAGTTCCAGAGGAGTCCCTGGGAAAACAAACTTAGGAGCCAGAACTTTAGAAGAACAACTCAAAATAAATCATTGACCTCAGCACATGTATCTCTCATTTTCTTTATTACATTAGTATCGAGAGGTAGTTTCATGTAGCAGGAAAAAGAAAACATACAGTTTGAAGACCTGGGTTTTGTTCTTGACTTTTCTACGTACTAGCTGTGTGACGTTGGATAGGTCATTTAATGTGCCTGAGGCTCTTGTATGAATGAAAAATATCACCTGCCATATCAGTAAACAAAGGATGTTGCAGCCATCAAGCCATCACATTACAGCCTCCCCAGTGGGGCACCCTGAGGGGACTCGGGATGAGAAAACACAGGATACTGGCCCCAGAGAGCTGAGGTGCATATCAAAGGAGTGATTTCAGTAAGCCCAGACTCTTGCATCTTCCCATACACAGAAAAGCACTAAATTCATTAACTTGAGGTGTTTGGTTTTCTTTTTTTTTTTTGCGGTACATGGGCGTCTCACTGTTGTGGCCTCTCCCATCGCGGAGCACAGGCTCCAGACGTGCAGGCTCAGCGGCCGTGGCCCACTGGCCCAGCCGCTCCACGGCACATGGGATCCTCCCAGAACAGGGCACGAACCCGCGTCCCCTGTATCGGCAGGCGGACTCTCAATCACTGCGCCACCAGGGAAGCCCTTTGGTTTTCTTTAATCAACAGTAATCTTTTGATGTTTTGACTACCTGGTCTTTGTGGCAGAAACTCCCATATACCCTGGCTCCTCCCTTCCCTCTTCGGAGCCGTCCCTAGAACTATCTGAGATGCTATGTCTCAGGCTTGAAGTCCTCAGAAAGTCCACCAAATAAAACATAATTCTTAACTTTTCGGTTGAACATTTTTTTTCAGTTGACACTCACAGTCAGAAGTTCTAGGTTTGAGAATGATTTCTATGCGTACCAAATAGGATCTTTAGTAACTCTGAGATGCTGAGGAGCTCATTTCACCAATCTAAATCATAGTTTTCTTATCTTCCTATTGGAGGATAATCAGGAATTACACTGTGTGTGGCCATATATAGATGCAAGCTGATACTATATTAAACTAAACTGTGTCCTGTCCACAATAAATTCCAGCTGGTTGCCACCAAGGGGTGGGGTGGGGTTGCAGAAGGGGAGAAGGTACAGGCCCCTCAGGGAAGAATTGGTTCTTCCCTGGGCATCCCCATCCTCTCTTCAGGATCAGAGGAGCCTGTGGAATCTCAAGAGGGCCTGGCCATCCTGCACAGTGGGCTGTGGTGTCAGGGAGCCACCCTGGGCTGGGATGCATGGAGTGGGCCCTGGACATCTCTGCACCTAGAGCCCAGACTGCCACCCTCAAGGCAGGGCCCTCCCATCCCAGCTCAGACCCGGTACTCACCCAGGGAGATTTTCTCCCCAGAGTCTGCAGGGAGCAAGAACACGAGGAGGGCCAGGGCAGAGATGAGCACACAGGGGATGAGAAGGTTGAGGCCATAGTAGAGGGTCCTGCGGCGGATGGTGACAGTGAAGGTCACATCCGGGTACGGCTCTTTGCAGCACTCATAGAACTTCTCACTCCGCTTGCCAGGGATCCCTTCAGTTCCAGGGGAAGAAAGGAACCACCGTTGAATAAAAGGATGCAGTTTATTTTAAGGGGTTATAACACACACACAGAGCCGTGGAATTTGTTAAGTGCAAAACACTGGCTAATTGTTGTCTGAATAAATGCTTTAGGTTTATTATTTAAGGGTATCTTAGTGATATTTGAACAAATTGGCAGGTTTTTTATGTATTCAAATTACATGTGCTCTAGACTGAATGTGTCCCCTGCAAGGTTCATATGTTGAAATCCTAACCTCCACAGTGATGGTTATTTGGAGGTGAGGCCTTCGGGAGGTGATTAGGTCATGAGGGGGAGCCCTTGGGAATGGAATTAGTGCCCTTATAAAAGGGACCCCAGAGAGCTCCCCTATTCCTGCTGCCATGTGAGGACACAGCCTGAAGACAGCTGTCTGTGAACCAGGAAGCAGGTCCTCACCAGACGTTGAGTCTGCCAGCACCTTGATCTTAGACTCCCAGCCTCCAAACTATGACAAATAACTTTCTGTTGTTTATAAGCTACCCAGTCTATGGCATTCTGTTATAGCAGCCTGAACGGACTAAGACGCCATGATTATAAATAATACATTGTAAACTCGACACCATTATAAATGTAATTATTGTTTTCTATTTAAAATCATCAAATATAGGTTCCCATCAACTGCAATTTGCTGTTCCACCTGATTTTCGGGATGAAGCAGATTTGAATAACGTAGAGATGCCCATACTAGCACTGACCTTACCATAACTGCAAGTTCCTTATGGAAAGCACTGAATTTTCTCATTGTTTTTTGTTTCTCATCCTAGAGCTCTCAGTAAATCATGGAGAATGCTGCAGGGTTCAATAACTGCTCATGCTGAAAAGCAGCGTGGAAAATCCCAAACTTTTTAAGCCAGCACAGTAATAAAGCAGCTTCCTTCTATGTTGCCAGTATCACGTCTTTGCTGGGCTTACCCACAAGGTCCCATTCTCCATTTGGGATATAGCCGCTGATGTCTGCCTCCTGCATCTGCAGATCCAAGGACCACCCTCCATAAGACCAGGACCCAAACTTCAGTTTGCACTGCTGCACGTCAAAGGGGAACCATCGCACATCAATGTAGCAGGAGCTCTTGAAGATGCCTACGTGGGCAATGAGACAAATCAAGACGAAAGCAGGCTGAGACCTGCTTTAAACACACAGCAGTCTCACACTGTTGGTGGGAATGTAAATTGGTGCAGCCACTATGGAAACAGTACGGGGGCTCCTCAAAAAATTACAAAAAGAACTAAAAATGATCCAGCGATCCCACTCCTGAGTATACATGGAAAGGAAACAAAATCAGTATCTCACAAAGATATTTGTACCCCACTGCAGCATTACTCACAATAGCCAAGACATGGAAACAACATAAGTTTCTGTTGATGGATAAACAGATAAAATATTATATATATATATGTGTGTGTGTGTGTGTATATATATATATATATATATACATAAAATCAAATTTATGTGGATTATATGGAATATTATTCAGCCTTTAAAAAGATGAAAATCCTGCCATTTGCAACAACATGGATGAAACTGGAGGGCTTTATGCTAAGTGAAATAAGCCACACACAGAAAGACAGATCCTGTATAATATCACTTACATGAAGAATTTTTTTAAAAAAAGTTTAACTCATAGAAACAGAGTGGAATGGCGGTTGCCAAGGGCTGGAGGGTGGGGGAAATGGGAGAGAGGTTGATCAAAAAGGGAACAAACTTTCAGTTATAAGGTGGATTCATTTTGAGGATCTAATGTACAGCATCGTGACTATAGTTAATAATATTTTATACTTGAAATTTACTATGTGAGGTGATGGGTGTGTTAATTAACCTGATTGTGGAAATAAATGATTTCACAATATATATGCATATGCATGTGTGTGTGTGTGTGTGTGTGTATATATATACACATGCATATGCATATATATCACGTATATACATACATATATTGTACATATATATGTGTATGTGTATATATATATTACAATTTCATTTGTCAACTACACCTCAATAATGCTGGAAAAAATACTAAAAATAAAAATAAATGCACAGCAATCCCTTGGTCTCCATCCCATACACTATTTGTAACACACAAAGCCTACTCTTCATGGAGTGAAAAGCTTGCTATCCTGATCAAGCATCGGCCGGTTAAACGACGCATCATTTCTGATGCTCTGCATGTCTCATGATCAATGCTGTGCACACATCCCCTGGACCATTTGAGATCCCTTCAGGAGGAGGCAGTGTGAGTACCGGGGCCTCTCACCTGGGTGTGACCAGAGAGGCTTCAGCCCATCCTGCCCGTCCAAACTAGACCTGTCCAGGACAAGCTGAGTCTTTCTGGAAAAATCTCTAGAAAAGAGTTCAGTTGAAGCTTTACTGTCTTTTACATTTCAAAGGCTACACCTACATTTTCTGTTCTGAGCAAAGAATTCAACATTCTGTAAACTTGCTCTTGCCATGCATGTGCATCTCCAAATTCTAAACAGTAAGAGAGATGTAAAGAATGTAAAAAAAATCCTATAGAAGCTGATAAAAATGATGAAGAGCTTAGAAACAGAATCTGAAAGGTCTGTGTGCGTCTGTGTGACTGTGTTTGGTGAGGAGCAGGAAAAACATTTTCTTTAGGTTAAAAATTGAGAACATACTTGGTTATCTAGAAATATATATGGAAGATAATTTTAACTAGCCTGAATTCTAGATTATAAACAGAACAAAACCTAATAGGTTTTAGTTGAAGAGGTAGTGTTTGGACAAAAGCTAGAGTTTCCACTGAAAAGAGGACAAGTTGGGAGTAAATTTGCCAACAGGTCACTGAGATAATTCCACACCGGCCATTTATGCCCATGTGCTCCTTGCTGCCCAGAGAAAGACCAGAAGGCAGTGATGGCACAAATAGCTAAGGGTCCCAGTGCTCACAGGGACAAGGCAGACGCTCTGTAAATTTCTGCTTCCAAATTAAACAAAAATGAATGGAGGGACTCAACTTGCTAACAGGGACCCCCCACCCACCCACAGTCAAACTGGGAAAGGATAATAAACTTCCTGTCTCCTCAAGTCCCTTTAAACAGGATTTGCAGCATTACATCCAATGTCCACAGGAATCTGGAAGTCATTACAGACACTGCCCTCCCATTAATGGGCTGAACCCCCCAAAACTCTCACTGCTGGTAGAAAATGAAACTGTAACTGTATTATTCCATTTCTATCAAATGACCAGAAAAAGAGACTCTCTAGAGGCAGAAAGGAGGTCAGTGGTTGCCTCGGGCCGGCAGTGAGGGTGGGGACTAACTGCAAACAGGCAAAAGGGATCTTTGGGGGGTGATGGAAAATGTTCTAGAACTAGATTGCAGTCGTGGTCGTACAACTCTGTGAATTTACTAAAAATCATTGAATTGTGCACTTAAGATGGGTCAATTGTATAATACGTAACTTACACTTCAATAATGCTGTTAAAAAATAAAAATATGACATGGGAAAGAAGTCATTTCCTAATAACCAAGTCTATTTCAAAGCTTGCATCTGAAGCACTTTTTGCCTGTTTAGTTGCTGGAGCAGAGCAGCTTCCCAGTTCAGGTCTACACGACCCCAGGCGCAGTCTTGCTGCCCTGAACCAGACAATCCCACACTCTCTAGACCAGAGTAGGGGAGACTCCCACAATCAAAGCTCAATGTGCCCTCCTGACAGACTCCGGGGGCCATGCAGGCTGGGATGTAGGAACTGGCCCCAAAGGGGCTGCTGCACAGAGGGCTCGGGGGTCAGGAGGACTGCTCCCGTGGCTGAAAATAGCCTCAGCCTTCAAAACAACCCGCAGCCCAGTATTCTTCTACGCTGATGACTGCTGGAGGTCATTTTCCAAAATAGTTCTCATGATAGAAGCTGCAGCTTCTAGGCCTGGTGTAAAAGAGTGTACCAGTGATGGAAGACCCATCCCCGAGGTCTTTGTTAGGAGGAAGGCTTGCGTGGCCTGGGGGAGGAGAGGAGGGGCTGAGGAAGAAGCAAGGAAGCACAAGGTTTAAGACAGAAAACCTGAAAGTCTGGAGTCCTTCCATCTCCTCAGACAATAATGGATGGTATCTGCCTGTGACAGGTTCAATCCCTGACGTGTTCGTTTACCTACATGTGTGCCAAGCCGCTGGTTGATGAGGGTGGTTCTAAGGGGAATAAACACAGATCCTGCCCTTGGGACTGTCATCCTCTGCTAATGAGAAAGAGAATGTAAACAACCACCCAGGAGGCAAAGCCAGCTTTGCTGTGAGCTGTGAGATGGATCCAAGGGCACAAGATGGGGCTGACTGCTGGAGGGTGTGTGTGTGTGTGTGTGAGCATAGTGTGTGGTATGTTTTTTGTGTGATGTATCTATATGTGTGGTGTGTATGTATGGCGTTAGTGGGTGACATGTGCACGTGTGTGTGTGTGCACGTGTGTGTGTGTGTGTGTGTGTGTGTGTGTGGTGTAGGTGTTGGTGGTGAGGGGGGAGGTGGCTGCAGGCTGCCTGGGAACAGAAAGTTAAACAAACAGTTGCAGTGGGGGAAATAACCCTGGAAAATAACATGTGAAAAATGATCTAGAAGATTTAAAGAAATCTGTTAATATCTTGAGGGCACGAAGCCTGGGTTTCCCATGGCATGGATCACTCACAAGCAGCCCAAGGCCCTGTGAACTGACAGGAATGATGGGAGGAGATTCAACCCCAGCAGTTACCCATCAGCTGCCTGAGAAGGAGAGACGCTCTTTCGGGAAGAAATCGCTGATGAGTCCCTTGGAAACCACCTGTTCTCACCTCTAACAAGCAGGTGGGCTTTAATGCACGCACGCAAGAAGCCAGCCCAGCAAGGTCACCATCTCACCCTGACACTGGAGGGCAGCACATACCCAGGTACCCAGTGCAGTGGGAAGGAAAACGCAGGCTGTGAGGAGGAAATGACCTGGAGGTTGGTTGCAGGCTATAAGGAGAACAGAAATGACCTGACAACGGAGACTTGTTTTAGTTGTGGATGAACTTTAAAGAACACAGGACAATAAGGACAGAGGACATGTGTTGGCAAAGACAGCTTAAGCCATGATCCCAAGAGGAAGACAGCATTGCCACGCTCAGGGAATACATGCAAGCACAGAGGAGAAGTCAGGAGGGCTGGGCGTGCGTGGAGGCTAAGGATGCTCAGAGCTCAGAGCCAGCCGCTGCCCCTGCGGGCACCGTCGAGCACCCCAACCTCCTTCATGCTGTCTAACTGCAGGGGACAAAGGGAGCGGCACTTACCTGGAGGGAGGTACTGGCAGTACCCAGAAGAATTCACTAACACGTTGGTGTGGAACGTGGCGTCAAACCGCTCATCAGCACTGGAAACAGGAGAAGGATCCGTGAGCCAGCCCGGCTGGGCAGTGGGTTCCCCATGCCCTTAGGGCAGTTGTTCCTACAGTCCGAGCAGCTCTGAGAGGGGCTGCTGCTTGCAGTTGGGACAGCCAGCGGCGGTCTGAGAGCCCCACCTGTGGCTGACCTGGAAGGTCTTCCCAGAGCACAGGGGGAAGAGACCAGTGCCCACCTCCATTTCATAGGGATGCCTATTTTTTCCATATGCATATAAAACAAAGCTCTTAGCAAAAATGAAACCTGAAGACAACTTAGGAGGACATTGGCAGATGAGACATTTCAATCCATCTCCAGGAGATAAAGAGTGGGGGGAAGCACAGTGCCCCTCTATCAGCCCTTAAGGGTGGGATTTGGACCCACTGTGTTCAAGGCCCTAGTTCCAGCCCCTTGAATGGGTCCAAAGCTCGGGTGGTGCTTGAGAAATCCATCTTGAGTGACTGAGGCTGCAGGTGCATGGGGGAGTTGGGCAGCCCCAAGGAGTACGGGGCTCCAGGATTAGTGATGACAGGAAGGAGCACAGGTGGAGACAGAAGAATTAGGTTCAAGTGTAGAAGAACGCACTCCAGCCCCACCCCCTGCCCATGGTCAGAACCTCCTACAGCCAGGAGTTACCAACCTGGTTAAAGGGGGCACACAAAACGGAAAGGAAAAACAATTAAGACCAACAGCCCTTATTATCCAGGTCTTTCATTTTCTGTGTTCTGACACTTTGACATCTGGGGCCTTGCTGATCCTGGAGGGACTACTCCCACCCCCACCCCTGCCCCAGGTCAGCCAATTCCTAGAGATAGCAAACAACTCGCTCAAATGGAAAGCAACCAATCCAGAGCCCACACCCCCACCATCTCTTTTATGGCGCTCTCACCCTCCTGGCCACCATCCACCTGCCCTAATCACCCCAGGACCAGGTACCAGACAAACAGGGACAGGCCATATGTACCCAAGCCTGCTGAAGGCATTCCCGGTCCTAGCCCTGCTTACCCTGCCTCACCAGTTCTATTCCATGGAAACCACAATAAAGGCTTTTGACCACATTTTCCCCTCACGCCCTCTGCCTCCTGACTGTCCCTAGTGCTTCCCTGTGTGGCCCTGTATAGCGAGCATGCTCCTGTTTCCAGGGAACTGTAAGATAAACTTCCTTCCTTCCTGACAGTCATTTCTGTGTCTGCATTTTACCATGCCTGATTAAAACATATCCTTAAAATGTCAGATGTAGTGAATGGACTTGAGGACACGGGGAGTGGGAAGGGTAAGCTGGGATGAAGTGAGAAGGTGGCATGGACATATATACACTACCAAATGTAAAATAGCTAGCTAGTGGGAAGTGGCCACATAGCACAGGGAGATCAGCTCAGTGCTTTGTGACCACCTAGAGGGCTGGGATAGGGAGGGTGGGAGGGAGGGAGATGCAAGAGGGAAGAGATATGGGAACATATGTATATGTATAACTGATTCACTTTGTTATAAAGCAGAAACTAACACAACCCTGTAAAGCAATTATACTCCAATAAAGATGTTAAAAAAAAAAAATGTCGCCCTACAGGTGAATAAAAAAGTAAACAGCCTCAAGAAAACGTAGGCAGCCAGTCAAGGTGTCAGCACCTCGAGTTAAGTTTCCCTCATTTTAGCAACTGGAGAACCTCTGCTAAGGGCTGCCCACGTCTACAGAACTTCTGCAGCCTTTTCTGTTCCCAAAATCCTCTAAAGGGGAAACTCACCGTCATGAGATATCTGAGGACAGCCTTCACTGTGAGAGACAAGGACAGAAACAAGAAAGATCCAAGAAGAAACAGTCAATGAAAGGAATGAAAAATTACCTCTTAAAAAAGTAATATCCTCACAAAAATTCAAGAGGATGTTGCATTTAGAAAAACAAATGGCAATATGGAAGTTAAAACATGATCTATGAAATACACCTTTATAAATTGGTGGGAGGTTTGGCTGATAAGAATCACTGAGATGAAATGTAAGACCGAAAGGATGAGGGCCTCAGAGTAAAGGCCAAGGAAGCAGAAGAGACATGGGGGCGGGGGTGGGTAGTGGGAGGGAGAGAAATCACACAGAGAAATTGTAGAGCTGAAAGAAACCCCTCCAATGTGAAGGCAAAGAAAGGTGTTTTTAAGAACATTAAGGTGCCAGAGAGCTTGTTTCTTATGTATATTTTCTTGGTCATGGACTTGAGCATCAGCTCCAGAAAAATGAGGGTGAATACTAAGGAAGAAGAAATAAACTTTCAGACCAAACCTAAAGATCTGGAAAAGGAATTTTCATGATGAGCTGTGTAGTGGGTCTAGAAAAAGGGGTGGGGTCCAAATTACAGCAAGATATAAGGGGTCTCTGAAGAGAGTAAAGTGGATTCAGAGTAATGAAGAGAAGAAACAACAAGGTGGAAAACACCGTGGATTTGACTAAGGGCACATTGTTTTCAAAAATCTTTAATTAAAAAAAGCCACCAGAAACTTCAGGAAAAAACTGTTCAAGAAAGCCAAGGTTTGAATATGAAACAAAAATGTGATGAAGCTTAAAGACAGAAGGAAGGGAGGAAGACTAAGTTACAATAAAAAGATAATCCTCTGAGATGAAAAAGGACACATCCACCCCCTGACTTCCAAACACACTCAGGGAGAGAGAGGAGGAGGAAGGCTCAAGATGTAAATATTCTTTGCTTCACTGCAGTCTGTACCTGACTGCCTTAATGACACACAAACAGTGACTGGGAACCAAATATCTGAGGATGTGGACCTTCACAAACTCACCCTGGATTTTACCCTGCTTTTTAAATTCGGGTTCTCTGAAACCCGAAGATTCTGTGGAGGTGCTTCAGATTTCTGCAAATGTTTGATTCCAATATTTTATTTTCCTTGTGTTTCAAAATGCATCATTGGATGAATGGATAAAGAAGATGTGGCACATATATACAATGGAATATTACTCAGCCATAAAAAGAAATGAAATTGAGCTATTTGTAATGAGGTGGATAGACCTAGAGTCTGTCATACAGAGTGAAGTAAGTCAGAAAGAGAAAGACAAATACCGTATGCTAACACATATATATGGAATTTAAGAAAAAAAAAATGTCATGAAGAACCTAGGGGTAAGACAGGAATAAAGACAGACCTACTAGAGAATGGACTTGAGGATATGGGGAGGGGGAAGGGTAAGCTGTCATAAAGCGAGAGAGTGGCATGGACATATATACACTACCAAACATAAGGTAGATAGCTAGTGGGAAGCAGCCACATAGCACAGGGAGATCAGCTCGGTGCTTTGTGACCACCTGGAGGGGTGGGATAGGGAGGGTGGGAGGAAGGGAGATGCAAGAGGGAAGAGATATGGTGACATATGTATATGTATAACTGATTCACTTTGCTATAAAGCAGAAACTAACACACCATTGTAAAGCAGTTATACTCCAATAAAGATGTAAATAAAATGCTAATAAAAGTCCAAAAACACTCAAATAATTGTTTGCGAAATTTTAACTCTTCAGACACTACCAATGTATTAATTCATGTGGCCCGTTTAACTTTTCTGGTGGACATGAAACTAAAACTCCTCTTGCCATGAATACTGCATGTATTTGAAACTCTTGAAAATGAGTCACCCAGTAAGATTTGTTTTGCATTATTGCTCTTTTAAAAAAAATTCACATTTGAATCTACAATTCCAGCATAGAACCTGCATCTGCCTTGGCACCTCTCCCCCCACCCCCCACCCCCCACCCCGCAGCAGCAACAGCAGAAAGCACTGTGTGATGCTTGCATAGCTTTGCTTATTTTAAGCTTGGGTGTCATCTTGGCTGATTTTTATATTTATAATAAAGGCTGTGGGCATCTGTTAATGATTCAATTCTGAAAGAAAATAAAATTCATACAGCTCTTTCTCCATGGATTTGGAGCAATTTAATTGAAAAGACTCTTGAGATCACAAGGCAAATGGGTAAAAACAAGATAAAAATCTGTTGCTAATGGCTGTGTGACTCAGTGATTTCTGAATACCGTTCAACCAAAATAGAATATTGAGATAAATGTACCACTGTCATCATTATCAAAATCTTAATACTCACTGTGGAAGTTTTAGGGTTCTTTCCCAGGGGCAAATTGATTTTATACATAAATGATATAAAAGTAAACTCTGGTAATAATTATGTGCTAATACCACTTCATCTGTTTTGACCATTAGGGCTGGAGATAAGGTTTGTTTGAAAAAGGGTTCTGCTGCTAAAATCTAAGTCTGAAAACATGCAGGGGATGAAGTCCCTGTGAAACATGAGTGACCAAAACCACTGCAAGGACCTGCCAGGCGACAATATCAGTGATGTCCATTGGGTGTCAGCTGACAGTGACCTTGAGGTCACATGGTATCACAGCCTTGCAGCCAGCAGATTCTGGTCACCCTGGAGGCTGGGTGGGTTCACAGAACTCAGCTCACTCTTCCCTCTGTGCTGGTGTGCACCTGAAACTTTCTGTATTAAACTGTTAGAAAACAGTCAAACATACATATTTTTTCTTGACTACTAGAGGACAGGATACACCCTCAGAACTTTTGATGACCCTGGCACGTGGCCCTTCACGCCCCTCAAAACCTCTTCCCTCCAGCAGCCTTGGTCCTCGTCCAGGTAGTAATGGACAGATGAGCTTGCACTTGGTGTGAGGGGAGCTCTGGGCACTCCCACTGAGAAGTGCCCATGGAGAGGAGGGATATTTAACCCCAATATTGAAGGTGCAGGTCCTACGTCATCCGTCAAGTAGTCAGGAGCAGAGGACACCTGGACAGGCTCTAAGGATGGGCAGAAGGCTCACAGGTTCTGTGAGCCTACCAGGAAAGGTGGGCGTGTCCCCAGCAGACAGCGTAGTCTGATCACACACCTGGAGGTAGACTGGACTGAGGGAGGCTTCATGAAGGTGAAGTTTGCCTGGAGCAGGGGTGAATGAGATGTTGTCCCAAGCAGCAAGGCTAATACAGGGGC